AGGAGCCAGGAGCCTCTTCTGGGTGCAGGTGTCCAAGTACTTAGGCATCTTCTGCTGCTTTCTAAGGCCATCAGCAGAGATCTGGATCAGAAGAAGAGCAGCTGAGACTCAACCAGTGCCCATATGGGATGCCGGTACCACAGGTGAAGGCTTAACCTACTATACCACAGTGCCGGTCCCAGAAAAAGAAATAGTTCTATGACCCAGAGGGAGGGAGTGAGGGAGGGAGAACATACTCACACAGATTTACAAAGAGACATGTATAAGGTAGTTCATAGCAATATTGAATACAATAGCAAAAAAAATTGAAGTAACCTAAATTTCATCATCAGGAAGTAGGTGAGTAGATACTGGTATGATAATACATTAAACACCGTACATCAGAGAGAAGAAATGGCCTTGAATTATGTGCATTAACACAGATGAATTTCACAAATATTGAATGAAAAAAGCAAGTTGCCAAAGGGTATATACATCATGATGATGTATTATTTATATAATGTTTTAAGACATGCAGAACAATACTATATAAATTTATCCAGTAAAAATAAAAGGATATGATTTATACAAAAGTCATAAGGTGTTCATCACATGGTGGGCAGGATGGAGGCCAACCAAGTGTACAGAGGTGACAAGGCATCAGCAGAAATGGTGGAGCTTCATTTCTAGGCTTGGTGGTAAATGGATGCTCTATGTCATTTAATTTTTATACCTTTTAAATATATTGAATATGCATAATAAAGTTTTACATGATCCTTGCAGATCATCACTTTACAATCCTTTTTGTAGCCTTATGAAAATGATTAATCTTATCCTGATATTTCAAGAAGGACTTTTATCAGAAACTTAAAAATTTAAGTACACTCTAAAGCCTCTGTCTGGCTATTTATGTGACCAAATGTACTACCAGGTATGTGAAGGAGATGGTTCTACCAGAGAATAGGGGTCTCTTGGTAAAATTATGGTGAGTAGGAATATGTTTATTATTTCCTAAGCTCACAGCCAAACCTTGAGACTATCAGTAAATAGAACCTATCAGGAAATAGCCAGCAATGGGCATACTACATTTTTTAATACCCTATTAAAAATTCCTCCTATCCCTCTTTGAGTCACCATCTCCTAGAGATAATGAATAGCCCCTTCCTTCCTGATGTGACAGAATTTAGCTTTGTTAATGAGATGTAAAATCTATAACTGATTGTGAGTTCACTTTATAACTTTTATACCAGCAGCTCTAGCTATTAAAACTTCTGTCACTGGAGAACTTATTCTCGTCATTCAGTTGTGATTTTTAGAAATTGGCTCTTGAAAAATTATCTGTTTTTGCTAGTGAGTTCGCCACCTAGGGAACATGGCTCTACTTGTATCAAAGATTTTATATCTTGTATATTGACAGATGCCAGGTGGAAATTATACTGTTATTTCCTGTGACTTGTTAAGTTGTCCACTTGGTTCAAATTGGAATCTAGTCTCCATGGCAATTGTGAAGTCCCTAGAACAATTAGAATTTAGGTAAAACCAGTGATTGAAGAGTTATTTTTAAATTTGAATAGTTTTCTGAGATAATCGTTTTCATTAACTGATGAATTCTACAAATTCTAATTGAGCTCCTACTACATGCCAAGCATTGTTGGCACTTGGGGTTGTGGGAGTGAACAAAATTGGACCAGGCCCCTGTCCTCACGGAACTAGCATTCTAGTGAGTTTTTGGAACAACTCATAGGGTTGAATTGTCCATTCAGCCAAGGATGCTAACTGAAGCTCTTCCATGTTTTTCCATGATCCTCCAAGATGAGGGCATGTATTCCTCTGTGCTCCCAAGACATATGGACATATCTGAGCTGCAAGAAGCAGTTGTTACTCTAACAGGTAGTGTTTGTATCCACCCCTGCCAGCTCACAGACTGTGAGAACTTGGGCTGGGTATTCAACCCTTTAGAGCTTAATAAGAAAAACTAATCCTTACTTGAGCACCTACCTTTGCCAGGATTCTGCTATGTGTTCTCCATAAATCTTTTTATTTAATCCTCCCACCAAATTTACAAGGTAAATCCCATTACTAATTCTCTTTCACTAAGAAAAAAAAAAAAAAAAGCTGAAGCCCAGTGAGATTAAGTAACCTACTAAAGTCAGATGCATGGGCAGAATCTCGGAAGGACTAGGAAGGACTCAGTAAATATTAGCCTCATCAGAGCCAATAACATTTACATTAAACTGTTCTTTGTTTTCATTACTGAGTTGTCACCCACTTATATTTTGTGCCCATGTGAGTGCTCCTCACCTCCCTCTAGACCCAGGGTCATTATTATCATTTGAACTAAATTAGAAGGGAGAATTACCTATTTATTTATTGGTTGCCCTGGCTAACTTTAGAGACATTTAAAGCTAGCACCCATTTCTTCTGTCTATACTGCCTAGTAAAGGCTTGGCAAAGAGTATATGTTCAATAAATATTTTTTGTACTCAACTTACTGTTCCATTAAAAAAAATAATAAAAATAAAACTGATTTGTATTCAGTAAAAGGGGAAGATTGAAAGACTGAGTAAACTCCTCATTCTCCATGTAGTCCAATTGATGTTACTGTTGGCAGTAATAATGTTATTATAATATTATTTACATCTTAGCCTTAGCTAATTTGGCTCTCAGATATTGAGTATCCACCAGTTCCAAACACATAGCACACTTTATCTCAGGTTCTTACCGCAAATTGGAAACAGAGCCTCAGTAATGTGGGGTCACTTGCCCAGGACCACACAGCAAGTAAGTGGCAGTTAGCTTTCAACCCAGCTCAGTACCTGGGCACTTCCCACTATACTGTCTCCCTTCCTGCTCCAGTCACAGTCAGTGATGTGAAAAAGGCATGATTCTGGTCATGAAGAAGGCAGAGGACCAAATGAAGGAGGTGGTAAAGCTATACAAGAAGGATAAACATGCACTGGCCCAGTCAAAGGGGCAGGGGCCTGCTGGGTCCTTCCATGTAACTGTGTTATGCCGTTTCCACCAGTTGCTGTAGGGTCGTCTTGGAGATTGTCACGTACTATAGTATGGCCTTGACATGTATCCACATGAAGGAATAGATCCAGGATCTGTCTTGGTGTCTCCAATAAGAATTTGTCTCCCTGACCTGCCCCCTTTCAGGTAAATTGAGAAGTCAGTCTGACCAATTAACAAGAAATTCCTATGCATGGACTTCAAAAAGTTCATGGAAAATGGAATTAAAATATAAGTTTATTTGGTGCAAAAATTATTTTGAAATCTACATATAATTTTTATCAAAATAAGCATTTTCCACAAATGTTTGAGGACTCCTTGTAGAGTTGGTCAGTTAGTGATGGGTCCCTGGGCCAGGCACAGCAGAACTAGATGTTATCAACTATATATCCTTTGTCCCCCAGACTTCCTAAGATCTTACTCTGATATCCCCCACTAGTGATATGTCGCGGTGGTATTTTCCAAAGTGTGTTCCTTCCTGCATAAGTACTAAATGGAATTCTGTAATTAAGGTGCAACAGGCTTTTATACCTCAGTCTTTATCAGAGCCTTGAAAAGATTAATATGGATAGTGTCTTCAAGGGACAGCATTTCTCAAACCTACTTGGCCAGGGAATTCTTTTACATGGAGCACCTCTTAAGACTAGCATTTTCTGGGATGCACTTAGGGAAATGTGTGTCATGATCCTTTAAATATTTTCTCATTATGAAGTGCCAAGAAAGTGAAAACTTGAGGAATGACTCTTAAATCAAAATGGTGGTGTCCTCTTTTGTTCCTTTCTCTCTAGAAAAAGTCACATAGCTAGTTTCTTTTAAAAGTTCAGAAAAATAAGAATGAATCTTTATTTTCAAACCTTGAAGTATTCCTTTCTTGTCTTTTCCATATCCTTACATCTCCAAATGTATATTCATGAGTGAGTGAGTATGTGTGTGTGTGTGTGTGTCTGCAGCAGCACTTACAATGTTCAGACACTGTGCCAGATACTTTGCATTTGTTATCTCATTTAATCCTCACAGTAACCATGTGAGTGAGCAAGTAAAATTCCCATGTTAAGGATTAGGAAATTGAGGCTTAGAGGATTTAAGTAGCTTCCTCAAATTGCACAGCAAGGAGGTAGCCAGTGTTTAGGCACATTTACTTTTGGGACTCCATAGCCTAATTTTTTTAAGATTTATTTATTTATTTATTTGAAAGGCAGAGTTACAAAGAGGCAGAGGCAGAGAGAGATAGAGAGGTCTTCCATCCACTGGTTCACTCCCCAGATGGCAACAACAGCCGGAGCTGGGACATTCTGAAGCCAGGAGCCAGGAGCTTCTTCCAGGTCTCCCACCTGGGTGCAGAGGCCCAAGGACTTGTGCCATCCTCCACTGCTTTCCCAGGCCATAGCAGAGAGCTGGATTGGAAGTGGAGCAGCCGGGACTCGAACAGGCACACATATGGGATGCCGGCACTGGAGGCGCCGGCTTTACCTGCTATGCCACAGCGATGGCCCCTCTATAGGCTATTTGCTTAAGGGCTCACATAGTAAAATATTCATTTTCTAATCTGGAAAAAATAAAACACTTATCTTAAATTTACTAGCAGGGAGTTTATCTTATCTTGGATCATCATGCAGCTCAATTCTATGTTGAATAATAAAAGAACATTCCAGAATTGCTCTGCATTGTATTTGTCCTTGCTTCCCTCTTCTGACCTTCAGTGAGTGTCACAAGGGCTTCACAGCACATAATCCTAAGTGCAGCGCCACATTGTTTTCTGTTTTATGGCTCTATAATCGCCTCTGTTGTAAATACATTCAGAAATGATTGTGGCTTTTTCTTGAAGCCTCAACATTTTTAAAAAAGTGATTTATTTTGATAGTGCTTTAGCCTCACGATTTCAAATATTAAGTTATGTGGTTCAGGTGGTCTTATATTTTCCCCATAAATGTGTTTATGTCACTCCACAGACTGAGAAATTTCATTCCAGGTTTTTTTTTTCTTTCTTTCTTCATTCAATTTTCCTGCAGGAGGAGAACTGAATTCTTTGAACTTGTCAGTAGAGGAGAATATGATTGGAACATCAAAAACCACCGTGATATATTTCGGTAAGAAAAAGCTCTTGTTTCTGTGTTTCTTCACTATTTGCACATTCACCTGTGCTTTTCCGACAGTGCTGAGAGCATGCAAGTGATTTTTAAAGTGATGAATATTACACTGAAAACAGATTAATTAATTGAAGAAAAGATAGACACATTTTTTCATCTTATAGTTTATTATATTTTTGGCCTCCTCTCCATAAATCTGCCTTCAATTTAGAAAATGGTGTTCAAATTAGATCCATTTTAGCAAGTCATGGTTTCTTCTTTTTTTTAATTAATTTTTTTTTATTTGAAAGGTAGAGTTACAGAGAGAGATCTTCCATCTGCTGGTTCACTCCACAAATGGCTGCAACCACCAGGGCTGGGCCAGACCAAAGCCAGGAGCCTGAAGCTTCTTCCAGGTCTCCCATTTGGGAGCAGGGGCCCAGGCATTTGGGCCATCCTCCACTGCTTTCCCAGTCAAATTAGCAGGGAGCTAGATGGGAAGTGGAGCAGCCTAAATGCCTAAATGGGATGCCAGCGTCGCAGGTGGCTGCTTAACCCTCTCTGCCACAATGCTGGCCCCACGCAAGCCGTAATTTCATTTTCCTCAAAAGGAGAGTTGGGAAAGTTAGGAGGAGAGTTGGGAAAGTTAGGGCGTTTTGAACCTTAGAAACCAGAGTTGCACAGCACCAAGCAAAATGCAGAGTGAACTTCTACTTTCCTTGAGCCACAGTAGGGTTGTGAATAGGAACCAACCTGAACAATTGTGGCAGTGGAGGTAAGGAATTAGTTCTAGACTTTGAATGGGAGTTCCGCACAGTTGTTTAGAAAGGACAGTAGCAAATCAATGTCTTTATGTGGCGCATTTTTACCACTCTATTGCAACCACTCTGCATGATGGGGCTCCATTTCTCTTCCATTCATGCCCCATCCTTCCACTCTCTGGACCTCACTCACCCCAGAACTTCTGCTGTCTTGTTCCTGTCTGACACTGCCAAGTTTTACTGGAGAAGCTTGGGAGGCCATGCTTAGGGTGCACAGCATCTGCTCCACAATCATACAACCACTAGAATCAGCCAAGCACGGTCCCCATTAGAGCTCCCCCTCCCACATTACTGAGATATAAAATCTCTGCACCTGCTTAGTAGCACAGGGCTCTGCCCGCCTCTTCCCTCTGCAGCTCACCTCCCTTCACACTTTCCTCAGGTCCTCTCCCCAGATGTCCCTCTCTTGCTCTCCTCTCTACTTAACAGTTCTCTGCATTACATGCTTAAATCTTCCAGAGAGAGAGAAAGAAAGAGAAAGAGAGGGTTCCTCCCTCTTTTTAAGATTGCCACCTCCACTTGGGTCCTAATTCCATTCCCTCTCCTTTCCTCGCCTCCCCTAACCTTGCTATTGACAATTATGACCCATAGGCTTCCATTTTCAAAATCACTTTTTCCCCAATTATAACCATTCTACACCTAAAAACATGCTTCTGCCTCTGCAATCAAAAAATCATGCCTTAGACATAACAGGTTCTTCTGCTCCATGGCACTGAATGGCAACTGTAGACCACAATGGTGCATTAGATACTATAGGAGAAACTGAAGAGAGGAGCAGGCAGGCTCCAAACATGGAGGAAGGGTGGGGAGGTGCGGAGGTGACTGCCTGCTTTGGATGCATCTGCAGAAACACTGCATTCTACAGAGGCTCAGGTGCCAGACAGGGAGTGGGTGTGCAGATCGGCAGCCACGTTGGATCAGCATGGAAGGGGGTGAGATCTGAGCAGTGCACACTGCACATGGCTTGGGTACTGGCAGCCCCTCAGCGGCTCTCTGCTTACTAGCTGTGGGGAGCAACTCGGACTAGACTGTTACTGGAATTAAGACTTATTCTATGCATCTGCTCTCCCACAATATGGCGCTGGGAGAGGAGGAAACAGCTTCTACACAGCTGCCTCCAGTTCAACCAACAAACAGCAGGACCTGCTCCTGATTGGAGGAGAGCAGCATACTCGGCGTGTGGGTAGCAGAGTTGGGATTGGTGGAAGAGGACTATAAAGGAGGAGAGAGACAACATGCACCAGGAACATCTATCTGAAGGAACACCTGTGCAGCCCCCGAGAGAGCCGGCCGGCGGTGTGCCGCTCCCCCGCGGAAGTGGGGAAAGTGGCCAAGGGGAACCACCCTTCCACGGAGGTGGAAGGGACGGTAGCCAACCCGGGAAGAACCAGCAGCAAACCCGGGAAGGGCCGAGCAGACGAAAGAACAGCGCAGGGTCCTGTGTCGTTCCTCCGTGAAGAGGGGGAGTGACAACTAGCCACCTGCCTACGTCAACACCGCATCATCTTTCATCATAACATAGACTTCATCTAAACTATGGACATATAGTGTTCAGTCATTCCTCTCTTGAGGAATTGTCTGTGAAATGTGATTTCTGTGCCTTTTGGAGTCACCAGTCACCTCCGATGTATCAAATCCTACCGTGTTTGTTCTCTTCAGCTTCCTTGGTCACTTTATAGGCCTTCATGAAGTTGGCCTTCCCTTGAACTCTCTCTCCAGCCCCGGATTCTGCAAATCCATTTTCTTCTGGATTTCCTGCTTCATTTCTGACTCTTCCGTTCCTTTGTCCTTCTCTAGCCACTCTTCCTCCCCACCACCCCTGAGTGTAACTCTAAGTGTAACATCCTCATGTTTTCCACTCCTCTCCTCAAATGACTCCCAACTCGTTTCTTGGGCCTGCCTTCTCTTCTGAGCTCCACCACTGAAATGCCAGGACTCTGTCCGCATCTCCACCTGGAGGTTTTCCCGCAGAGATATTTGAACTTTTTTCATAGGGAACCTCATTTGGTAGGAATAAATGCTTTGGAAGCACATACTATAAAATAGAGGTGTTCTAGCTGCTCCTTCCTCCTTCCCCATTTCATGGTCAGACCCTCACCATAGTGCACTCTGGGCGGGGCTCTGAAAACACTATTTGTAGAGAATTTGAAGATAGTGATAAAAGCAACTGAAAACCAGTTTGGTTTTTATCATCGCCATGTCGGCAAGCTTGAGCAAAGTCGGTGATGAGTTGCCCAGCCCCCTGACCCCGCCAAAAGTTTTTGGTTGTAAATTCTAAACAATTGCTGAGGCTGCAACTCACAATCAAAATAATTGATATGAAAGGTTCATATTAGCACGTTTATTATTTATCCTCTCATGTACATGCATTGCAACATGCATTAGTTGCAAGAATGCCCACCTGGCCCTTCACACAGGTGGACCTGGCTGCACATTTTCAAGAGTATGTTGCTGTTCAGAATCTTTCAGATTTGTTCCAGGGGTAGTTCTGTGCCTCCAATCTTGCAGAATTCCATAACCCTGCTTTTAAATGGTATTTTTCAGAATAAGCAATGAGAGCATAGTGATGGTAAAGATGAAAAAATATAACTTGAACTCCTTCCATTTTGTTATTTTATGTGACCATTTGTGCATTTTATTTGTGTTTAAAATTTAAAACAGTGAAACAGAATGCAAACTGCAGGGAGTAATAGTATTTTGGGGGAAATGCAAATTTCAGTTCACACATGAAATTCTTTACTGAATTTGAATATATCCTTAAAATTGAAATTCATTTCCTTTAAATTGCTATTTTTAAAAAACAGACTAAAGAACAAATCAAGGAGATAACAATTATCCCAAGATTACGATTGAAATAATTTTGGCACACAGAGGAGAGGTGTGTTAAAACTGGACTGCCGTAAGCATCAGAGATGCTGAATACACACTGCTCCCTTCCCCTCCTTAGGACAGAAATGCTCGTGCAGTCCTTATTCCAGACCGTTCATTCAATCGCACTAAACAGATTGGCACAACTTCAGGGTAAATTGGAGTAGAATAATGGGGTCTGAAGACTAAAACAGTTGGTAGAAACTCCCTCCCTGCTCTCTTACTGTAGAAAAGACCTCTTACTCCTTCAGAGCCTTGATCTACAAAATAAGATAAAACAGTTCATTTATCTCCTTCAGTTCCTCCTTTGTGATCTTCCATCCTTGTCCCTGCCTTTGCACTCTCCCTGTCCTCTTTGTCTTAGGCTCATATCGATGTCTGCTTCCAAGGATTCATCCTTTCACTCTCTCCACTGTCAAACCACCTTCACATCCACCACTCAACTTTCTCACTTCCCTCCTGTGTGCCCAGCCTCAGCTGACTCACTGGTGCCCACTGGATAAAGATTTCAGCCACTCCACCCATCCTCCCTCCCAGTCTTTTCCTTCTGCTCCACGTACAGTGTTCATTGAAAGGAGAAATTCCTCTTTAAGACCATGGGCTCCCATCCCAGCTTTGACACTTCCTAGCCATATAATCTTGGGCAAGTTATGTAACCTTTTGAGCCTTCCTTTTTGACCTGTGAAATGGAGATAATGATAGTATTCCTCAAGGAGACTATGTCAGTCAACCTGCAGTGGCTGCTCAATAAATGCTAGCTATTAGAATTATCATCATTTGAGCACCTAAACAATACTCAATATACTTGTTGATTGACTAATGGCAATATGAATTTGAGAAGCTTCAAATCATCAAACAAAGCTCAAATAATTATCCAAGTTATAATACAAGTAGGTAACTACACACACATTTTTTTCTGTCTGGAAGAAATATTGCCATGTTCAATACATTACCTGCAGTCTTGTGCCCTCAGTCGCCAGCAGAACCCAAGACAAGGAACATAGACTATGGCCAAAAGGGATTCAGTAGCTTTGTAACATGTACAGAATCCTGATTTCTTACTTCGTTGTGGAAAATAACTCTCTCGGCTGGTGTCACGGCTCACTAGGCTAATCCTCCGCCTGCGGCGCCCACACTCTGGGTTCTAGTCCCGGTTGGTGCGCCGGTTCTGTCCCGGTTGCCCCTCTTCCAGGCCAGCTCTCTGCTGTGGCCCAGGAAGGCAGTGGAGGATGGCCCAAGTGCTTGGGCCCTGCACCCCATGGGAGACCAGGAGAAGTACCTGGCTCCTGGCTTCGGATTGGGGCAGTGTGCCGGCCATGGCGGCCATTGGAGGGTGAACCAATAGCAAAGGAAGACATTTCTCTCTGTCTCTCTCTCTCACTGTCTAACTCTGCCTGTCAAAACAACAACAACCAGAAAAAAAAAAACCTCTCTCCACACTTCTGTTTACTTAACTGTGAAATAGAAGCACCCACCACGGAGGGCTTTGATAGGCATTCATTTAGTAGGTAGCTAGCCATTAGTTAATTGGTAAAGCACTTAGTAGCAGCGGCATGGTGAGCACTGTAGAAGCCCTTGTTACAGAGATAAAAGCTGAAGTAAAGACTGATATGACTCTTTGCATGTTTGGAATTAGATGCTTCCTAAAAGCTTCTTGAGCTGAGACAAGTGCTAATACTGGTGCTGCCTGGCGGTGCCTTGAATGACCTATTGTTATCTGTGGCCGCCTGCCTTATTCTCTGGGAAAGTGACAGTCCGCCTGCCACCGAGGCGTGCGCTGCCATCTGGGCAGCAGACATGTTTCCCAGGATTCGGATCCAGCAGGGTCTGAAATGTTAACACCTGACATGGGGACGGCTTTCGGACCATCAACACCACACAGCTTTCCTTCAAGAGCTGTTAGACAAGATGTGGTTTCCCAGTTCCCGTGCTGCATGACCTGTCATCACATACTGCTGGTTTTAGCACAGAGAAAGCAGATTTGGGACAAAGAGTGGGCCTTATTCCCCCCTCCCCACAACCACATTAAATGATAAGGCCCAGAGCTAACTGAGATTTCAATTGTCCCCCACATTTCCACCGTCTAGTTTGAATTCTAGTTACATCTGCCCCTCAGAAATCTGATTCACATCATTCCTGCACTTTCTTATGGGCTCAAATTAATGAAAGCTGTAGCTGAGTATGTTTCTTCTTCATGGTGCTTATAAAACATGGCTGGAGCCAGGTAGTAAACCGATGAAAACGAAGTGGCCCTCACACGTAAATCCTCACCGTAGGGCACGGATGAAAATGAAGGAGCTCCTTATGTGCCTTACCTCTTTGGTAAGGGTGTTCTCCCACTCCCATCAATCAGTGAGAAGTTGGTAAATAGATGCATCAGCCATCTGTATACATTATACACCGATTCCCTTGCTTATACTTAAAAAACTAAAGCCAACATTGTCCAGAATGAGTTAAAGAGCATTTGCTTAGCTCAGATATAGAAAAAAGTAGCACTTTGCTGTCCTTGTAATGCTGCAGACAAAACAAAAGGCCACCAGAGGATATGTGAGAGCTTTGTCTTGCTACGCAGTGGGGCCACAGGACGGGGATGCCGAACGTAAAACTATGAACAGTGCTATTCCTTGTTGAGGGAAAGAAGATGTAAGCTAGCCTCCTTTCTGTTTTATTTATTTATGTATTTAGGACATGTCTGTTTCGGAATCCAACAAAAGATTATTCAGGCTATTTTGTTTGGCTCTGTTTTTCAGATCAATGTTAATGACAGCCTGTGACCTTGGAGCCGTGACCAAGCCGTGGGAGATCTCGAGACAGGCAAGTGGTGATTAATGGCAGGGCTCAGTGGAGGAGGTACTGGGGTGGGGGCATGGGGGAGGGGATTGGAGGGGGGACAATATTCCCAGAGCTCTGACTAGCAGGCACTGGAACCCTAGTCAATTTGCATGAGTATTAACCATGGTGTAAAAAATAGCAGGAGGCTTAGGCGCGACATAGTTTATTGCACAGCCTTCTCTTTATCATGCTTCCACCGAGCAATAATATTTCTGACTCTGTAAGACATTTTTAATGTGCAAACTCTGAAGAGCACTTTGGCCATTTCTTAAGGGAAGAGTTTCAAAGATGGTGTTTTTGAATAGGTAATCATATCTTAGCACATGTCCAGTCTTCCACATCTGAAAAAAGAAAAGGAAATTCTTTTTTTCTTTTAAATACTGTTTAGATATTGGAGGCCTGTGTGGTGAAAAGCATACGGTATCCATCTTTAATTTGCACAAAAAATCATGCCTTTCCCATTTATCTGGTTTCATGGCCACAACACATTGGTTCTATAGCAAGAACAGTTTTGAATCAAGTAACTACTCAAGATTCTTGATTACTGATAATATTTAGAGGTTAATATTTTTCTAAGTGTAATGAGGCCCTTACTGTGTGGACTGTATGATCCAAAACAGTAACTTGGTATAACATATGTAACATTTGTATACATTATTTCAGTGACTGCTCTGTGTATAGTATCACTTTTAGTGCTCCTTCCTCCCCTTGAGCTGGGTATAGTTAGTGTTGTAGGTTGAATAATACCCACTCAAAGATACCAGGTTGAACCCCTGGAACCTGTAAACATTGCCTTAGAGGGAAAAGGTATCCTTTGCAAATATGATTAAAGTAAGGCTCTCTGTTGGGGGGTAGTACCCTGGATTATCTGTATGTGC